AGCAAGGGGCATTGTCAGTGCATTTTCTAGAAGAATGACCACTCCCCGCATAAAACGGGGGGTGCCCTTTGCATGGACGCTCACAGCCCCTGGATCTGGAGCGGCTCCATCAACACAGGCTTGGCTTCGCCTTCCCCAGGTGGGATACCTGGAGGTCTCCACCTACCTCAGTCAGTTGTCCAATCCCGCCTGGGGGAAGCGTTGCCAAGGAGACCAGGCCAGGTAGAGGAGGGACTACCTGCCCACACAATAGAGGGAGGATCTTACCTGGGAATCCTCACTTGGCTCCAGAGCTTTTCCCACCCTACCCACCCTCAATTAAGTCTTATTTTGCAGGTTAACTTTTCTTCACAGGTATGCGGGCGCTGCTACGTCAAGGTCGCTTTTAAATGGCCGGAAAGAAATTCCCCTGCATTGGCAAGTTTTGCTTTTCCCGTAGCAAAACGTCTCAACTTTGGTGGTATCAGGCCTTGGGCAGAATCCTTTAGTCTATCTTCCTCTTTGCAGCAGCGATACCAGGGTTCCCCGTTAAAGGGGTTTCTGAAGGGAGGCTTTGACCGTACGCCAAGAGGTCGTCATTGCTCTCCCCTGCGGGGAGTGGCTATCTCTGCTTGAGCATATGTTCTCCAGAGCCGGTCCATCCCCCCCACACACACACTGGATAACCCTGATGTTCCCTAGGTCCCCGGCTGGGGACTGGGGAGAGATAACGCCCAATGCCTGAGCCAAGGTCTACCCACATCTGAAATATAATAAAGTTGTGGCCAATTTAATCCGATAGCACGTTGTCTTGAGTCGCTATTCCACATGACGGGGGGGAGGCACCCGGGATCTGAGGGACTCCGCCTGTCCACGCTAAACATTTCCCAGAGTCACTGGGATGCTTTCGTGGCAAGTAGGAGGATGGCTCTCAACTTTCCTTTGGGTGCCCCATCCATCTGAAGTGAGACAGATGGTGTCAACATAGGAGAAGGCTTTATTATTAGAGTTTAGAGATGAAGGTGTTAGGAAAGGGCTGTGACTCAGTGGTAGAGCATCTGCAGAAACCAGGTTTGATCTCCAGGGCAGCAGATGGTGACAGAGGAGGAGGCTTTTACAACTGTGGCACCTGCTGAGAGGTTTGGGTTAGTTGTTTGTTCCAAGTTTTGTTTAGGAGTTTGTTCCTAAACAAGCGCAGCAACTCAAGGGAAGGAGAAAGGAAAAGGCTGCCAAAGGAACATAATAGAAACCTTCCTATTGCTGTTTTGTGGACAGATCTCTGAAAGACTCAGCAATGGTGTGATTCTCAGCCCAGCCTGACTATATCAGTTTCTGCATTGATCTCCTCTGCCCTTTTGTATTTGTGACCATCATCACTACTCATCGTGAGCAGCAGTGCCCATTTATCAGTGAAGAAATAATTTTCTCTTTTTGATTTTATTTTTCTTTTCTATTTTCTTGTAACTTTTTGTCTGAACAAGTTTTTGGGAAGCTAGAAATTCTTTCCATAGTTTCTTCATCTCTCCTGTGTAGGTAAACCTCAAAATTAGTATCTGCAAGTATTTGCAATGTTTTCATTATTTCACATGTGCATTTTTATGATTTGTAAATGGTAATCCAAATTTGTAATTTGGATTAAAGATGCACTTCTCATTTTCTATGCATGACAAACAATATTTGGTTTTGAAGTAATGCACTGTTGTTGTTTTGTTTGCAGTTCTGTTCCAATTATGTATATTTTAAAATAAGGGTTTTGTGTGCTAGTATCATTTAGGACAGCTTTCTGAGATCAGTAATTTTCACCAACGGAACAGAACTAGGTGTACTTACTAGGCCAAGAGCGAATATATAAAACCATTCACCAAGTGGTAAATTTACTAGGAAAAAAGAAGATGAGATTAATTTTTGGAAGCAGATTGTTTGTTTGCTTAAATGCAGTTGTTTCAAGACTATATTTAGAAGAATTTCAATTTGACTTTGGTGAGGTTAAATCAGTAAATGCAGCTGAATTTATTTTTGGTAGCATTGTTTTTTTTGATGTTGCTAGACATTATCTTTTTTAATAACTCAGTTTTAAAACGTTGTTCAGAAGGTTGTCTTATTTAGCTGTGAGGTTGTTTGAGATCAGATGTAACTTCTCCTGAGTTTGGTGTGACTTACTTCAAATTAATTGAGCATAGGATTTCAGCCTGACCACATATTCCTATGCATGTCCATTTAGAATCAAGTCCTATCTGATTCAATATACAATTATGATAAATCAATATTTTATTGCAGAATGTTTATTAATCAGTTTCCCTTGACTTATTAAAATGGAAGGGTATTATATTTGATATTTTAAAAGGGTGGATGGATGACGAAATATAAATGTGAGATATCTGTTGTTGTTGTTTAGTCGTTTAGTCGTGTCCGACTTCGTGACCCCATGGACCAGAGCATGCCAGGCACTACTGTCTTCCACTGCCTCCTGCAGCTTGGTCAAACTCATGTTCGTAGCTTTGAGAACACTGTCCAGCCATCTCATCCTCTGTCATCACCTTCTCCATGTGCCCTCAATCTTTCCCAACATCAGGGTCTTTTCCAGGGAGTCTTCTCTTCTCATGAGGTAGCCAAAGTATTGGAGTCTCAGCTTCAGGATCTGTCCTTCCAGTGATCACTCAGGGCTGATTTCCTTCAGGATGGATAGGTTTGATCTTCTTGCAGTTCATGGGACTCTCAAGAGTCTCCTCCAGCACCACAATTCAAAAGCATCCATTCTTTGGCGATCAGCTTTCTTTATGGTCCAGCTCTCACTTCCATACATCACTCCTGGGAAAAACATAGCTTTAACTATACAGGCCTTTGTTGGCAAGGTGATGTCTCTGCTTTTTAAGATGCTGTGAGGTATCTAGTATTGAACTTAACAGCCATATTAAAATATATAAGTGAACCAATTTATAGTTATGACACTGGAAAGTTCGGAAGCATCCCTAAAATATGCATAGACTTGTTTGTATATGCATTCCAGTTTGACTGCTGATGTAGGAGAGGACATTTGCAATGCAAATAACTAAACAAACTAAGGATGTTAGTGCACAATGTGAGGTCCTGAGAAAGAAGATAACATTTAAAATACTGATTTGTTTGGAATTAAATGAATAAATGCAGCAATACCCACTAACTAAAGTATGGGGAGGGGAACCATCTAACATCGAGCTAACATTATTGTATTTTTACTGCTGGGGAGAGAGACAAATGCTTCAAGATGCCCAAAAACCTTTACCAGCTTACTTGGGTAGTGTGAACATTTACTTGAGGGGGATGAGAGTCACCATTGGCTGCTCTGCTTGAGGCTAGCCCTGCAACAAAGTCTTGACGCACCTTCAAGATTAACAAATGTTTGGTGGCAAATTTATGACGGCAAAAGACAGGGGCACAACTCAGTTGGCATGTATTGAAGGGTAATTGTAATAAGTGGGGTTAAAATGGCCCAAAGGTGCAGTTTGTCACCATTCTGAATAAAGGTTTGCAAAATAAGTCCTGTGACCATTACCAGCACCAAAGGGAAATCCCGGTACTACTGAAAATGTCTAATGCTCACCATTTGGGGTTGCAATAATGCATTGGCTTCCTGTCCCACTATGGGTGTTCATTTCTTTAACCATCCCAAAATGAGTATACTGTATATATTTTTTCTTTTACAGTTATAAAATTTAACCTACATGCTTATGAACATGGATTTATGAATCAGTTTTGGTAAACAACTTGATAGCAACACTCATTAAAAACATAAGTCATCAGTTATACATTAAGAGTCACATCCAGCACCATCTTATGTATATCTAATCTGAAAGAAGTCTATGTTTAATGTAGGATGGCCAATTATGTATTGCCAAAAAAAGAGGTTTCCCATTCACAAAAAAGAAGATGAAATATTTGCATAATTTTTTCATATGGTACTTTATATGTATAGACACACATTTAGAAAGAACTGCAAGAATTTAAATAGAAATGCAATACATCTCAATATAGAGGGGAAGAAATCAGGTGATTTCTGTGCTGGATTAGACTGATGACCAGGTGCTACTAACTTTTGTTGGGTATCTTCAAGGTTCCCGAACTCCCTTTTTCTGGTTCCTTATCTTTAATCTAGACTGGACAATTCTCAAGCAGAGGACAATGTCCTCTGACAGTCCTTCAAAAATCTATTCACTGTAGACAGTGCTGGCCCAGCCATGAGGCACGTGAGGCTACTGCTTTAGGGGGCAGAAGCCCCCCAGGTGGCATGCCTGTAGGTGGTCCATCTGCTCCACCTCCTTTTCAAGTGGCAGAGAAGCACTGCCACCATTGGCACCACTTTGGGGCAATATCTCACTGGAAATTGGTATCGATGGCGGTGCCACTCCTATGCCAGCAGAGGATGGGGCAGGACACACAACAGCAGCAAAGCAGGTGGGGGCAAGAGAAGGTGGGGGGGCAGGGGCAGTAGGGCAAAGTGGAACTTCCCGTTTTCCCCCAAGCAGTGAAACAAGATGCACTGCCCTGGGCTGTAGAGTGGGCCACCTGGCTATGGTAGCTTGATGAATAAGCTTTGCTTCTTATAAGGTGTGTTTGGATTGCAGCCGAAGTTAGCTGAACTCAGTTCCCACTGATATCAGTGGGGCTTTACTTAGTCATGGCTTTCATGTTGATTTGAATGGGATTTAGACTGGATGCAGCCCTGTGAAATATGGTTTCCTGAATAAAGAAATCATAAAGCTCTCTATGCAACAACAGATATGTCTATAAAGTTGAATTAATTTTAATCTATTTTAGTATTTTAACCTTTGTGTGTTTTAAAGTAGAGTTCTTGATTGTATGGTTTTCTCATTTTGCTAATCACTTTCAGGTCTTTTACAATCAATTGGTAAAAAATCTTTAGGAAATAAAAATATTAAATTAAATTTGCAGAGTGGAAGGGCACTCACTGTCATTTGCTTTTGAACAAGTCATCTGTATTAATCTTCTTTCTGTGTCTTTCTGCCTTTCATCTATGATACCAGCAAGCATTTGAGATGCAACTGGCAAACTGGACACAAGTGAATGAATTCATCCTGGTTGGTTTTCCTGGAGATCTGAGGCTGCAGCTCTTGTTATTCACCACTTTTCTGGTTGCCTACACACTGACAATAATGGAGAATGTGGTGATCATTGCCTTAATTTGGATGAACATCAATCTTCATAAGCCTATGTATCTCTTCCTGAGTAATCTTTCTTTCCTGGAGATCTGGTATGTCTCCGTCACGGTCCCCAAAATGCTTGCTGGCTTTGTGGCAGAAAAGAGGGAAATCTCTTTCATAGGTTGCATGGCTCAGCTGTACTTCTTCCTGGCTTTGGCATGCACTGAGTGTGTCCTTCTAACTGTTATGGCTTATGATCGCTATGTTGCCATCTGCAACCCATTGCGCTATCCAGCTATTATGAGTCAAAACGTATGCATTCGTCTAGCAGCTGGTTCCTGGTTGAGTGGCATTTTCATCGCCATGGGGAAGATCATCTTCATCTCACGCCTGAGCTACTGTGGACCCAACATTATCAACCACTTCTTCTGTGATGTTTCTCCACTTCTCAACTTGGCCTGCACTGATATGTCATTGGCTGAGCTCATTGATTTCCTTCTTGCCTTACTCATTCTCATTGGCCCACTCTCTGTAACAATCACCTCTTACATCTGCATCATCTCCACAATTCTCCACATACCTTCAGCCAAAGGGAAGCACAAAGCCTTTTCCACCTGTGCTTCACACCTTCTGGTAGTCACAATTTTCTATTCTACCACTATTTTCATCTATGCCCGGCCAAGAGCCCTCACCTCCTTTTATGCCAACAAGCTGGTGTCTGTTGTCTACACCGTCCTCACACCACTTCTCAATCCAGTCATCTACTGCCTGAGGAATCAGGAATTCAAAGATGCCTTCAGAAAATCAGTGCATGGAGCTTCATCAATGAGAATGGGCTAATATCTACATTTCAGTGCATCTGAAGGGCATATGTTTACTTGCGCCACGCTTCGAATGAGGACTTCAGACAGAGTTATATTTATTAAAATATAACAAGGAAGACATGCCCCAAACCAAACAGCAGTGTAGGCAAGGAAAACCTGTGCTGGTAGGCAGAAAGTCATGTGCCTTTGGCACTTAACATCTGTGCTCAGAAAACTGCACTGGTTGACAATCTGCTACTGGGTCAACTTCAGGCTGTTACTATAAGTACATAAACTGCATTGAGTTTTTCTACAATGGAGCAGTGTATAATTTTTTATGAAATAAATAGGAAGAATGTCCTTATTACTTTGGGACTAGTTTACCTGCTAGATTGCTTTACCCCATAGGTGTACACTTTACCACTTCAAGCTGCTTAACTGGCAATATTTAAAGTGTCACATACAGTCATTCAGCACTTGTAAGAAATTTATCTTTAGGTATGGCAGCAACCAAACAATGAAACTCCATATCTACTGACATCAGGCAGCCCCTTCCACTGTATTATTTTCCATGATGGCTAAAAACATTTTTTATTTGGCAAACCTATTCAGACATGTAGAATCTATCAAGTATTTTAATCTGTCTTTAGTTTATGGTTCATTTAAAATATTTTTAAAATATATTTAATACTTGAATACCTTCCCCTAGTGGTTGTCAGTAGTCCAGTGCCTTTGAAAACATTAGCCAGAGCACACGGGGTGACCTTTGTTTACGGCTGCATAATTTAAAGGACTAATGGCATACTTTTCTTTGTTTGTTTTAGAACAAACACTGAAAATTTGTGGACCTGTAGGCTACCAAATGGTCCAGGCCAATTTGGACCTCCTTTGCCTACTAATCTGTTCATTCTTCCACTAAAAAGTGCATGGAACAATTTTCCACCTCTATGTTAGGTAAACAAGAATTATGATCTAGACTATTGGCAGGAGAGAAAGAGAGAGAATATGTAAATAATTGATTGTTATTAAACATATCCCAAAGGCTATCTAATACTCGGAGATATTGATTAGGTCTCCTGTGTGTGTGAAGTGACTCTTGAAATAGCAGCACCAAACAATGTAAAGCTGTTTCTCAGGCTGTACAGTTTCCCATCTTAAGTTTTTTTGCGGGATAACATGGTGCAGGAAATTTTAGGCACAAGGATAGATGAGATAAGAAGGGCAAAGATGTAAATGGTTAAGTTATGAATTGCCTCTTGAAAACTCATTCCTTTTAATGAAAGGATTCAGTATCATTGTTTCATTTGGCAATAATCTACATTAGTTCGCCATTTTCATAGGATTTCATTCTACCAATTAGCCTCAATAGTATTGATGCCTCCTAGATAACTGGCAGCTTATGTGAGCCCTGTGGATTACCCTTCATTCAGGTGAATACATATGTTATTGATGAATTTACCATATATTCTTATATTATCTTTTTACAATGTCTGCGTGTCTGTCTATCTAATAAATCCTTAGAACTAAACAGATGTAGATTGGTAGATATAGGTGTCTGTGTTTCTATGTGTGTGTGCATGCATTAATATGTACACATTAATACAAAGAGTTCAAGCATATATATCTATATCTATATATCTATCTATCTATATATATATAGATAGATAGATATAGATATATATATACGGTATATATCAATATGATCAGTTATTTGGAGCACCTTTTCTACACTGAAAAGATGGGTTTTGTTTTGCTGACAAATATAAATGTGGGGAGATTGACAGAAATTAGAAAACTACAGGTTGCATCCTATGCTAGTCCAACTCAGAGTAGATTTATTGATGATGATGTACATAACTTAGGTTCATCCATTTCAGTGACTCTGCTGTGTGCATAACTTACTTAGACACAAGCTACAGATCAGTGTGGACAGAGTGGGTATGGATACATTTAACTTCCTGTAATACATAATGAACGTAGAGTAGTCACTGCCACTGAATATGGGCATGGGAACCACTTCTACATTTGATGGCTTTAAAATGAGATGGTTTAGTTCTAGTAATAGTCAACAGCTATAGTATGTGTCATACACAATTATTCATTAGTGTGTACTTCTGAATAATGAATGCTAAAGACAAAAAATGAGAGTGTGAATTGGTACCTTCGTGATCTGCTGACTGGATCCCCAGTAGTACTGTTAAAATACGTTTATATTCAAAATGTTGTCACTGATTGTCTTTCTCCATGCAGACATGTTCCAACAAATGATTTTGAAGTTCATAATTAAAAAAAAACATTTAGGTTTGTATTTAACTACGACTGCTATCCTAACTCCACTTACCTGGGCGCAAGCCCAACTGAATTCAATAGGACTTGCTTGTGAGAAGGTATTAGGATGGCACTTTAAGCAATATTCACAGTAGGCTAATGAAATCAATGGAGTGAAGTTAGTCATGTTTACTGGTGTCAATGCATCTATTTTGAATATGACTTATCAGTGAGGTACAACCTTTGGTGATACTAGGACTTTATTTTCAGCCAGAAGTCACCAGAACTCAGTCCCGGCACCTCTCAAGTGGGCACCATTACCATTCTAAAAGAATGAGAGAGATGTTCATGGTGAGTTCCAGAACCCGTTTGTGGTTCAAGGACCCGATCCCCACTTAGTGGAATGAAGACACACAGACACGTAATATAAGGTTAATGGGCAAGACTCGCGACAGGACGGCGGAAAGTGAGGCCGTGTGGCTGGCGCAGCAGCAAGTTAAGCTGCCGTCCACACCCCCTCCCAGCCACCTGGTTGGGCGCTTGCCCGTGGGCGTGGTGCACCAGCCAGGTGAGTGGGTGGCAGGGGGCTAACACCCCCTGCTTAAGGCGGAGCTCGGTTCCCGCCTACAACCCCTCCCCTCTTGCAGGAGGAGAGTATTTCCAGAAAAAAAGACCACTGGGTGATACTGTCTAAGGAGGTGGTTGTATAAAACAGAGACGTCCAACTTCCCATGAGGGGGAAAAAACAACTGGCAATGATCTACCCATTTTTGGGGGGAGGGGGAAGTTCAGAGTTATCCAGCTTTTCTTAGGGGGGCAGGTCAAAGTTGTCGAGCTTTTTTAGAGGAGGCTTCCCAAACTTCTTGAGCTTTTTTTAACATTAACTCAACAACTCAACCGCTAACAAACGAATGCAACGCTACAGCAGACAACAAAGGAACACCCACTAAATGCAACGCGGGGAAAGAACAAGGGGGGAGGGGTGGAGACATGATTCTAAACAACACGAGCAATAAGGATCCCATGAGTGGTCACGATTGGCCACAGTAATCCGGGGATCAACCTGTCGATCATGGTCGACCGGCTGGATAACCCTGGCATAAAACTAATTAATGAAATAAAAATAGGTAGATAGGAAAGCTACAGCTTTCCAGCACAATTCCCTCCATTCTTTCCATCTATCCATTGTAGTATTCTCTTTCTTATTAGCAGACTATACCATTCTGTTCCTTTTTAAATCATTATGATTTGTGTTTCCAGCAGGATCCCCGCCTCCCCCCCCCCCCATTTAGATCACTGGAATCTCATGATGAGGCATTTAGAATGAATGGTTGGCCAAGTAGAGCAGCCTCTACATGGTTACACTATAATGGGGGGATTTCATTTTTTCCAACCAATCCTTCAAAATTACTTCATAAACATGTAGGCATATCTGAAAGTAAAGTGGAAGATAAACTTGGCAAAAGTGATTGCAAGTTGTGAACATTATTAGCATGTACTTTAAAATTTAAACCATACCAATGAGTTTCATGTTGTCATGTTTCCAGTATAAGTGTTGTGTTTGTGTTGTGTTTTTCTAGTAGAATAAACCATAACATTAATATAGGGCAATACACATTTATCTACTTTATATCCATAGGCATACAAGGCTTTACTTCCTTTCTTTTCTTAATAAGATTTTATTAAAGCTTTTTCATAACACAATAAGATAAAATTAATCTGAATAAAAGCAAAAGCCCTAAATTAGGTATCTGATATGCCTATTTTAAAGGAGGGATGACTGAGAGAGATTAAGAACCCAAATCTTTCAACATTAATTAAAAATATACTGTGGTATCTGTTCCTACTTAACACTGTGCATTGGTTGACACTGAGAAAACCTGAAATCTTTCTGTTTTGGATCTTCTTTCTGCCTGGAAAAAAGAGAATTATGAATATCAGAGGCTTGTACTGTTACCTTTGTTTGCTACAAATACAAATACAACTTTTTATTTTGCACATTGCAGCACAATACTGTTAATATCCACTCCAAAGTAAACCAAATTGGGTTCAATGGAGTGATTCCCAAATTAGCGTTTATAGGATTGAATCATATGTCAATTTCCCTGGATGTAAACTCCTTTGAATTTAATGACACTTCTGAGCAAACTTGCATATAATTGTGTTGTTAGAACTATTTCCCTTAAATGATTATTACAACCTTCTTTAGATTCCCTGGGGCATTTGGCTCACCATTGCTTCAGACAGAATATTGAGTGGAATAGATAATCTTTTAGTATGTGCAAGGAATGCACAATTGCATTCTTACTTTGTAATCATAGAATGCTGCCTGGTAAGTTTTCTGGGGTAGCCAACAATTTGGGCTAATGGGAATTGTAGTTCCACAACCTCAGAAGGTATCCCTTATATTCAAAGAAGAAGGAACAAAACAGGAAGAGTGCATAGCTCAGGGGTACAGTACTGTCTCTTCTGGCAGATGCCCCATTATTTTTAATCCCTTTCCATTCTGGGAAGTTAAAATGATCAGGTAGCAGATGATAGGAGACATCTGAAGGCAGCCCTATTTCTAACCCAGAAATAGTGCTTCAGGTTAAGAACTTTGCTTCAGGATGAGAACAGAAATCGGGCTCCGGCGGCGCGGCAGCAGCAGGAGGCCCCATTAGATAAAGTGGTGCTTCAGGTTAAGAACAGTTTCAGGTTAAGTACGGACCTCCGGAACGAATTAAATACTTAACATGAGGTACCACTGTATTTTTAATCTTTTGTTGGAAGCCACCCAGAGTGGCTGCGGAAACCCAGCCAGATGGGCGGGGTATTATTATTATTATTATTATTATTATTATTATCATCATCATCATCATCATCATCTCTGCCTGAGGCTCTGGAAGCCATTACCAGTCATAACAGGCGCTGTAGCTTCTTCTGATATGTGCTCATGAATCCTCTTTTAAATAATCCCACTCTTTTTAAAGAAAGAAGACAACATCTGTGTAACTGTTTTCGTGTGGAAATATGTAGGTGAAAATAACATTTGTTGAATATATCGCTGAACAGATCTTTCTTTACTTGGGATGCAGCTTTCAAAAAATGCACAGGTCATTAATTCTTGGATGGGTAATTCCCACATGACATGGAAAAATATTTGAATAAACAGAGTAGACCCATTGCAATTAATGGTGTTAAGTTAGTCATATCCATACAGCCTGCCAAGACTGGGGAAATACCTGCACATGTACTCTTGCCATGATCTAGAGTTGGCAATCATGTTCATCATGGATGCCCCTATGTTACATTAGTTTTTCCCATCAACTACATGAAGTATGAAGTGTAGATGGATGTACTTTCCTCAACATCTAGGGACATAGATAGAGAAGTCTGGAAGGACACATTTGGTTCTCCATCCCTGTTCATCACATTCATCACATTTCTGACATTCCTAATAACAAATGTAAATAAAGTTTCTTAAATATAGCACATTAATCTTTCCCCTTTTTGTTCCCTTTGTCACTCCTTCTCCACAACTTTGCTAACCAGAGAGAATGCCGACATGGAATCTTCCAACAGGAGTGTGGTGAAGGCGTTTGTCATCTTGGGGTTCTCAGCTTCTCCACAGCTTTCCATGCTGTTCTTCACCCTAGCCTTGGCCACCTATGTTCTCACTGTTACTGCCAACATCATCATCATCTCAGTCATTAAGGCAAACCCAAAACTGCAGCGACCCATGTACTACTTCCTTGGCAACTTTTCCTTCATGGAGATCTGGTATACCACCTCCACTGTGCCGAAGATGCTGGAAAGTTTCCTGGCTGGTGGGAGTACAATCACTGTGGCGGGTTGCATTGCCCAGCTCTATCTTTTCTTTGCCTTGGGCTCCACTGAATGCTTCCTCCTGGCTACTATGGCTTATGACCGCTACTTGGCCATCTGCCGTCCTCTTCATTATCCAACTCTTATGACTCTGCAAGTAACTACATGGCTGGTGACAGCAGCCTGGGTGGGTGGATTTCTAGCTCCTTTGCTCCCCATTGTCCTCATCTCCCAGCTCTCATTCTGTGAGCCTAAGGAGATTCACCATTTCTTTTGTGATGCTGGGCCCCTGTTGAGGCGGTCATGTGGCAATGCCTTTGTCAGCTCTACCCTAGTCACAGTTCTGGCCTCCTTTGTCATCCTCAGCACCTGCTTGCTCACCATGGTATCCTATACCTTTATAATCTCAACCACACTTAGGATCCCCTCAGCCAGTGGGAGACAAAAGGCCTTTTCCACCTGTGGTTCACACCTTACTGTGGTGGTGATTTACTATGCCACAGTTATCTTCATATATACAAGACCCATTTCCCCTTCTCCTTCTAAGCTGGACACAGTGGCATCAGTATTTTATGCAGTAGTCACCCCACTGCTCAATCCAATGATTTATAGTTTAAGGAATAAGGAGGTAAAGGATGCTTTGAAGAAGTTAATGAATAGGAACCGGGTCTTTGTTAAAAATACTGGAGCTATGATCATGGTTTGCTGGTAGAAAAGACAATATGTGGGCAAAATGCTCATTATCTCTGATGTGCCAAACAGCAGCGGAGCAAGCCGATTGGGCGCCTGGGGTGGCGCACGTGCCCTGTGCCCAGGGGCAGGGCCAGCCACCCGTGGGGATGGGGTGAGCTGGGGCAGGATGCTCCATGGGGCCTCTGAGGAGTTTGCCTGCCTCCTCCCACTTAGCCACCCTATAGCTGAGGGGGAGGCGGTTGGCGGACCGTTTGGGGCAGCGTGTTTGTCACCGCCCTCAGTGGTGACATCCGAGGCAAACCACCACCCCCTTCCTTCACCCCGGTGCCAAAATCTCTCTTTCTCCTCCCTCCTTTATTCTCTTATTCTCCCTTATTCCCCCCCCCCGCTTCTCTAAAAGGCTTAAAATCATTCGCTTGCCCCGACCACAGGAAGTGTAGTTCGGTGGTAAGAATTACCACACAATTTTTATCATCCAACTATTTGCAGTTGGATGAATCTGTTAAAATTTGTTTCTCGCAATTTCTCCTTTTTCCAGTCATAGTCCAATTCACCCAATTTCTGCCCCCATTTGTCTTTCATTTTCAAATTCTCATGGAAATTCTTACACATTTTTGCACACTTTTCTCTGCATATGCAAATTTTTGTACAAAGTTTTGCCTAGCTTTTTTGCAAGCAGTTTTGATTTCACAGAATACAATTTTGTTCGCTATTTTCACTTCTGTACACTTCTTTTGCCTGCGTTTTTTGAATTTTTGTAGGTGTTCTCAGCTTCATCACAAACTTTGTGAAGTGCAACTTTCAAAGAGCATCTATTTCTTGGTTCATGTATTGATTTAGGAAGTGCAAATTTGGTAATGAAAATTAATTTCTCTCCCACATCAGCTCAGAAATCCCAGGATCCCTTATGGAAAGACTTGACAGAGTGATATAAACCCTATATATGCCTATAATGTAACTAAACCTTTCTTCATACACACCTTTTTTGATTGTCACCCATATCAATTGATCAAGTATTCATGAAGTACATATTTGCCATAATTTGGAATTTAGATATGTGTGTTCATTAGGCATATATACAATGGTAATAAAAGTTACAACATATAGTTGAGCTTGAATGAATAATTTATACCAGAGATAGCCAAGTGGCGTCCTCCACATATTGTTAGACTCCAAAGAACAATAGTCTTAGTTATTGTTAACGTAGCAGGGAAGATGTGAGTTGTAGTCCAGCAACATCTGGAAGAAATTGCGTTGCCTACTCTGGTTCAGAGAGACAAAATTCAAAGAAAATCAAATCCTATGATGTGTTTTATTATTTCAATATCCATCACATTTTATTTCTCATTATTTATACAGTCAATTAAAAGAAGAACTTGTTTCTGTGTTTGTATTTTTACATATCTAGTCCTACTTAGATAATTTGGTTTTCTAAGTTCTAAGGGACAACATGCATGTCTGGCCCAGTTTTCCCAAAGCCACCTTAACCTCCTTGTTCCTTAAACTGTATATGAGAGGATTGATCATTGGTGTAAGGATCGTGTAGAAAGTAGACAGCACTTTGGTTAAGCCTCTCAGTTTGGGGTCATCTGGGAGGACATAAACAATCATTAAGGACCCGTAGAAAATGGTGACTACAATAAGATGAGAGGAGCAAGTGGAAAATGCCTTTTGCCTCCCAGAAGTGGTGGAAATCCTCAAAATGGCTGAGATTATGCAAATGTAAGATGTTATGGTCAACATAAATAAAGGGAAAGTGAATAAGGAAGATAACATAAGGGCTATTGCCATAATTAATGAAGTGTCAGTACAGGCCAACTTACTGAGAGGTATAAAATCACAAAAGAAATGGTCAATTCCATTGAAACCACAGTAAGTTAATTGTGTCATCCATATGACTACCACAGAGACAGAGAAACAACCACTTATCCAGGATGCTGCTGCTAAAGAGATACAGACCTTGCTGTTCATATGGAATGAATATTGCAGTGGTTTGCAAATTGCTAAATACCGATCATATGACATCACAGATAAGAGACATGTCTCTGCAGTCACCAGAAAACCAAATAAATATAATTGTATAAAGCAGCCAGAAAAAGAAATGGTTCTATTCTCTGTTAGGAAACTGGCTAGCATTCTGGGCAGAATAGTTGAGGTATAGAAAATCTCCAAACAGGACAAGTTCCCTAGGAAGAAATACATGGGCGTATGAAGATGTCTATCATTCACAACTAACACAACAATGAGAAGGTTCCCCATTAAGGTTAGAATGTAGATGCTCAGAAATATCAAGAAGAACAGAATCTGTAGTTCAGGATGATGTCCAAATCCCAGGAGGATGAATTCTGTGATGGCAGTTTGATTTATTGAGGTGGCTACCTAAGAGGAAAATAGCAATGGAAATACCATCATGGCAGCTATGGTATTCTTAAGAGGAAAATGTAATAATGACACACACTTTATAAACAAATTAACAATCTGCTTAACATTTATATTGTTCAGAGCTCTTCACACATTTTATTTCAGTGTGAATTGATAAGATAAATGCAGCTAGACAAAATGGTAGCTATCGTTTGGCATGCATGAACCAAGGCAATTTCTGAATGGAGCGATTGGTCCATGAATCACAAATAGGGATAGGTTCAAGGACAAAATCAGTTTTGGGCCTAGTTCACCACCAAATAAGACTGAAGTCTGTTCCATCCCATTTCTGTGCAGGTTTTAAGGATCAGTTCACATATATCCATACACCAAATTTCCTCTTTTTTGGTCTTCAAAATATGGCAACCCTTCATAAAAATCTACACCTTTTATGTAAGAATTCCAAGGGTGGCAAAACACGAGGTGATCCAAGCTGAGTTGTATTTTAAAAAATGCTTCCACTTGCTTAATAGCAACTAGGTAGTGTGCAGTTTCCTTTTCACAATGCACATTGAACTTAGCTCATCTTTCCTCATCCATCCCATAAATCTTTGTTTTAAATTTAAATACCAGAATAATGCGAAAATAAATGTTGGGATGGATTGAGGCACATTTGTATATTCGTACTAATCACATGTCATTATTCTTATGTGCAATTTTATGTACGTATTTTACGTACAATTTACATGCTTTGACATACAGTTTATTCTTAGAGTCTTAGGAATAATTGAACATAAAATACATAAAATGTACATATGATACATAAAAATTCCATGTGAGAGGGATAACACGTCATCAGTACTCATTGCTCCCCATGGGTCTTGTTGCAATGATTTCAAAGTGTGAAGAGGCAGGAGCCCTGTGAGTGACTAACTGCGCCTTTGCAAATGAAATTACATTTTTTAAAGAAGACAGTCAACCTTCAGACCAGCTCATGTGCAAATGCATAATAAAGTTCTGATCCAACCTGATCCCTGCATATGTCTGGACATATTTTTTTCTGCTGGATGCATTCTGGAGTTAAAATTACATAGTGTTATCTAGGTATGGAACACTGCATTGCAACAGGGCATTGGACTCAATAGCCTAGCCTACCACATACAGTACCCATGGTATAACAATCACTTACACATGGTTACTCATTTATATTTATGTCTCAAATGAAATTGAATTAAAACCATTAAAAATTCTGTTGGGGGGAATAACTGATTTTGGTAGAAGATTGAGAAGATCTAGTAGGTAATCAGATGCATGTGCTACCAACTGCAGTTCCTCTGCATAACTGCAAACAATGATCTAACAATCTGAAAAGGATTTGATGGTTGGTATGAGATATGTATTCCAATGACTATAGCCTGGGATATTGTGTCCTACATTTCTGTATACTTACCGCATCCACTGACACCATAATCCACTATGTCTCTCAGCAACATGACAATGCTCTGAAATAAAGAGAACTACATCTAACAACTTCATAAGGGTTTTATTTTCTACAAGGTGGCACTTTCTGTCAAGAGATTATTATTATTTTGTTCTCTTGGGAACTCCTTATGATATGACCTGGGGAGCTCTTATTATCTGGCACTTTCCTACCATGATATGAGGGAGCATATGGCCCCATTTAATGAAAGCAAGAGTTAGTGATGACTAGGACCAAAGATCAGACACTTGCCCAATAATTTATCCTGTTGCTATTGGAAGTTCAGGGAAGTTTTTACTGTGTGACATTTTAATGTATTTTTAATCTTTGTTGGAAGTTGCCCAGACTGGCTGGGGAAACCCAGCCAGATGGGCGGGGTACAAATAAATTATTATTATTATTATTATTATTATTATTATTATTATTATTATTATCATCATCATCAACAGATGCCAGAGCAGAGAACTATAAAAGACAGGCACTGTGAGGATAATTGTAGCCTCTTTCTCTTTTGGATGAGACCTTGTCATATATATAATTAAAGGAGACATGCCCTTCAGAATTTGGGACTGAATTCGTAAATCCCCCTCATGTTTATCCCATAGCTAAAAATAACGATAAGAAAACCATTCTGTGCATTAGAAGCCAACTCAGGATAAAAGACAAAATTCTAGGGAAACCAGACACACCAGTGAGAAAACTTTATAATAACAGCCCGGAGTGGTTTGAATGATGGCACATGACCTTTTTAAAAGCTTCTGAATCAGGTTTGTCTTCTGGTCTGACGTTGTCAATTGCCAATTTGTCAAGTTGAAGCCATTTCACCTGAGCAGTCATCTTTTCAATTGCACAATCAGCTCTTAACAACAACAACCTTACCCCTATGGCCTTTCAGTTAAATTGATGCTCTTTAATAGTCTATGAACCATCAAGTTTCCCCCCAAAACAACCCACAGATATTTGAGTCTCAACAACTGGGGGCTGGGGGAGAGAAAGTCCGCTTACCCTTCATGGTGGGCAGCGTTGCAGCTGGGCATCAGGTCCCGCAGTGATCCAGCTGGGGGTGTAGACCGACACCCTCCTCATAGCCGTCTGGCTGTGTTGTTGGCACTGGGCAGGGCCCTGCCCATGGG